CAAAACTAGCGGTCTCGAGCCCAGAAGCTGTAGAAATAATCATACTTATATTCCATAAATGTACCAAATAAATTGTAAAGCTTACTATTGTACATACTATTTTAATGGGAATAAGCCACAAATTAAAGGTTAAAATAAGTTTATTGACACTTCGGAAAATTCGTTCTTGAGAACTTGTGGAAATTTAAACGTCAATAAACTTATTTTAACCTTCAATTGAGGCTTATTCCTCATTAGAATTTTAATGTCAAATTAGGAAAAGGTAAATTCCAAGATATTATTGGTGAATTCGGACTACGAATGAGGAATGAAAGAGGGGAAAGACTGACGGAATTTTGTCAGGAATTTGAAATGATAGCGACAAATACATTCTTTCAGTTACCACCACGTAGATTATATACATGGAAATCACGTGCAGATAGCAAAGAAAAAATGATTAGAAACCAGATAGATTATATCCGTATCAATAAGAGAAACAGTAACTCCATCAAATCGGCAAAGACATGTACAGGAACAGATGTGTCATCAGACCACAATCCAGTAATCGTAAAATTCGAAATCCACTTAAAGAAAATAAAAAATCAACAAAAGACACAACAAATAAGTACTCTGCTAAAACACCCGAATACAAAAGGAGAACTAACGTTGAACATTAACGAAGAATTAAGCCAAACAATAATCATTAATAATGAAGATTCCAACGAAAAATGGGAAACATTTAAGAACACATTAATGGTGCCAATTAAAGATACGCTTAGTAGTCACAAAATCGATGAAGCTAAGACTCCATGGATGATAGATGAGATCCGGCAACTAATGGATAAAAGAAGATCATACAAAAACAAAAATGTAAACGAATACAAAGCCACACACAAGAAGATCAGTATAAAAATACGGGCAACTAAAGAGAAGTGGTACAGCGATAAATGTTTAGAGATAGAAGAACTCCCAAGAAATCATGATAGTTTTAAATTGCACAAAAAAATTAAAGAATTAGCAGATATAAGACAGTCCTCACTATACCTATCTTGGCGTCACACTTGATACTAAATTAACATGGGAAGAACATATTAATAACTGTTTAATTAAATGCGAAAAAAGCCTAAATGTTTTAAAAGTAGTTAACCGTCACCAATGGGGCGCTGATCCTAAGGTTAATCTAATGTTTTATAGGGCATATGCCAGGTCAGTATTTGACTATGGTTGCTTTTTATATGGGTCTGCTACAAACACTAGACTTAAAAAATTAGACCGAATTCTGTACAAAGCTCTACGTTTGGTTTTAGGTGCACTTAAATCTACACCTACTGAAAATCTATTAGCCGCATGTATGGAACCTCCATTAAATTTAAGACGTCTTTTTTTAGCTGAACAGTTTATCCTTAAATGTCAAAGTAATAACCAATCCTACCTATTGCAAAAAATATCCGACACATCTGTATCTAACTTAGTTGACAAATGGTGGCATAACAAAAATTCTCCAACTTTAGCTATAGCATTTCCTAATTTTTCTTCCTATTTAGAAATCCCAGCTGAAACCAATTTCTTCTAATCTAATTTTAATATTCTTTATTCCCAAACCAAAGTTTATTTCCGTACTTTTGATGATAACAACGCTATTCAACTTCAGAAACAACTTGCCAAATTTGATAAGCCATATAGGATTTTCACAGATGGGTTAAAATCCATTTTGGGAGTTGGTTGTACGGTATATATCCAAAACAATCAAGAACACATTAAGTTTAAATTAAACCAACAATGTTCCATTTATTCCGCAGAACTGTTTGCAATATATCAAGCTCTAGAATGGACTATTGAGAAAAGAATGTCTGATCAACAAATAGTAATCATGTCAGATTCAAAATCTGCGCTGTCTGCTTTAGATAATTCGCATAAGCATTTATACAAAAACAGTATTATCGTCAAAATATTAGAAAATCAACTAAAGCTACTTGAAAGAAATAATTCAGTCTCATTTGGGTAAAAGGACATGCTGGTATCTAGGGTAACACCAAAGCAATTATTTTGCTAAAGAAGCGGCTTCAAACGGATTAGAAATTAGCTGGCTCAATAGAAGTGATTTAGTCTCGCTGCGTAAACAAGAATTACAAGAAAACTGGGAAATTGAATGGAATGCTTTTTGTAACAGAAGTAACAACCTTTACACAAAAATATACCCTGTTTATACCTACTGCACCTTTTGCTGCAAGAAGTCATCCCAATAGAAGAGTATATTCAATGTTTCTTAGATGCCTTGTTAATCATGCTACTGTGAAAGCCTATCTTCACAGATTTAATTTAAGTGAAACCGAACTTTGTGACTGTAATGGTAACACTGACGATATCAATCATTGGATGTTCGGGTGCATATATAATGAAGCTGCTATTAAGTATCTATTGGAAAAACTGATAAAAGAACAAATACCTCTCCCTCAGTGTCAATCTTCCATTTTATATATCTGTCGTCATAATATTAGGTTTAACCAAATTTTTTGGGAATGTTTAAAAAGGACTAATAGAAAAATTTAGGATTGAATGTGTAATGTGTAAATCTAGCTTTGTTCCCTCTGTCTATCCTTATGTTATATAGTTACCTTCTAACCGTTGCCTGTCTTGTGTTGTAATAAAGTCGCTATGCAAGGCACCTTAGCGTGAAAAGTATCCCTATATTATGTAATCCCTTGTGGGTCCTAAATATTGTTGGCTAGGGCATTGAATGGAACGAATGAATGTATGGTTTTTTTATCAAGCTACTGATTCTTGTGATACTGATGTTTACACTATATTTTTAATTTACCTCTATGCAAAGTACTATTTTGTTAACAAATGCAATATGTCAATACATCATTAACAAATTCAAGTAGTCAAATACATTATCGTGGCTGAATGGATCAAGTATCCAAAGCCATTAATTAAATAAAAAAAAAAATAAAAAAAAGGCAGTCCAACAATAGTAACACCCTGGTTGATATGAATGGTAAAATAATATCTGATATCAAAGGCAAACTAAACAGATGGAGAGAATGCGTCCAAGAATTGTTCGAGAACGACAGGGCACAATAAGATAGCATGAACCATTGCGAATAACATGGTATAGGTCCAAATATAACTAAGGTTGAAATAATGCATGCAATAAATCTGGCAAAATCTAATAAAACTGCGGGGTATGCACAATTCCAACTGAAGTAATTAAATTAATATCAGAAGATCAGATCAATGTATTAGTAGACTTATATAATACTATATATAATACGAGTATTATTCCGAGAGATTGGCTCAAATCAATATTTATTACATTACCAAAAAAACCTAATGCAAGGGAATGTAATGACCACCGTATAATTAGTCTAATGAGTCACACACTAAAAATATTCTTAAAAATTATCCATTTAAGAATTTTCAGAAAAGTGTAACAAGACATCACTGAAACCCAATTTGGATTTAGGAATGCCATGGGTACACGAGAGGCATTATTTGGATTTAACGTCCTCATGCAAAGATGTATGGATGTAAACCAACCACTCTATGTTTGTTTTATTGATTACAATAAGGCGTTCGATAAGATCCGACACAACCGTCTTATACAGTTACTTAAAGATAAACACATTGGCAAAAAAGACTTAAGAATAATAACTTATCTCTACTTTAACCAAACAGCAAAAGTCAGAGTAGGCAAGAACTTTCGGAGGAAGTAGAGATAAAAAGAGGCGTAAGGCAAGGTTGCATACTCTCCCCCTTATTGTTCAATCTATATTCGGAAGAAATAATTAAAAAATCACTCGAAAATGTAACAATTGGAATAAAAGTCAACGGCAGACCCATCAACAATATCAGATATGCCGATGATACTATACTAATTGCAGAGAATATACAAGATCTACAGACACTCTTAGATAATGTAGTAAATGCTAGTGAGGAAAGCGGACTAACGCTTAATGCTAAAAAAACAAAATTTATGACAATTTCCAAAACAACAACAAGACATTTTAAACATAAGAGGGGTTCCAATAGAAAAAGTAAAAAAATACAGATATCTTGGTACAATTATTAATGAAAATAACGAGTATACAGAAGAAATAAAAATGAGAATTGGACAAGCTAGAGCAACATTTAATAAGATGAGAAAAGTATTATGCAGTAGAGACCTTAGTTTGCAACTCAAAATAAGAATATTACGTTCATATGTGTTTTCGGTGCTGCTGTATGGGGTGGAGGCCTGGACCTTAAATAAAGAGGTGAGCGATCGACTTGAAGCATTCGAGATGTGGACCTACCGAAGAATATTAAAAATAAGTTGGGTAGACCGAATAACAAATGTTGAGGTCCTCAGAAAGATGACAAAGGAAATGGAAATCATGAATATGATTAAGATAAGAAAGTTACAATATCTCGGCCACGTTATGAGAGGGGATAAATATGTGTTGCTACAAACCATAATGCAGGAAAAAATACAGGAAAAACTAAGTATTGGAAGAAGACGCATCTCCTGGCTCAACAATCTGAGAAAGTGGTATAATTGCAGTTCCATCGACTTGTTCAGAGCTGCAATCTCAAAAGTGAAAATAGCTGTGATGATTACCAACCTCCTTAGAGGAGACGGTACCTAAAGAAGAAGAGGCTTATTCCCATTAAAATAATATCTACTTTAAAATGTCACAAGAAAATAGCTTCAGAACAATAATTTTAAATTGTACTATGCCAATAGCCTATTGAGGTTGAGGCATAAATAAATTAAAAACGCAGCTTTTCACGCAAAAACTATTATAAGAAAATACTGACTCTACTCCATATTATGTATGACACAACCGCTGTAGTAAAGAGTCAAACACTATAATTTCAAAGTCCAGTTGAAGTCAACTGGAGCGACAATTCAAAATCATGAGTGGGCAGGTAAACTCAAATAAAAAATGCAGCTTTTGTTAGAATAGATATAAGAAAAACAGTAGTAGTACATAAATTAACACTAATATATTACAGATACTTTAATAACAAATACTTACCTATTAAGTCATATAATTTATGAAAAAACGCTGTTGACTACAAAATATATAAGAATAAATTGGTCTTCCAAATTTATACCAAATTCAAAATACTTCCAAAAGTACACTGATAACACGAGTTAAAGTATTGATTGTATTTTAATACAAATCTTGTAATTTTATCCATAAGTATGTAATTCAAATCAAAAACCACTTATGAAGTAAACGGCATAAGTTCGATTAATTACAATTGTAATAATAATAATAAACACTCTTAGTAACAAATGGGTTTATAGGTCAAAAATTGAATATTTATCTCATTTTTATTAAAAATCGTTTTTCTTACTTTATGCTTCATCTCTTAATAGTGCTTCATATTGTTATTTGGTTTTCCCTGTTTAACCAATTTAGTTTCTGTTATCCCTCATAATGTTTACCATTTTTGATCAAGATTATCCCCCTTTATCGTGAAAATTCGATATTCGGCTTCGGTTATTTTAATTTTCTAGAAATATAATAAATTGATTACAATAATTATCGCCCAATCCACCTACTACTTTTAGTCAGGTCATTGAGTAGAAAGTTCTCCTTCAAGAAAATGAAACCCATTACCAACAGCACGGCTTTATCAAGCGTCGTTCAACGATCAAACTTACTTTATTATGTCAACGAGTGGTCGTCATCTTTAAACGATATATTTAAACAATAATACTGTTGATGTAGTCTACTTAGATGTCTCCAAAGTTTTCAATCGTGTTCCCAAACATCGCTTACTACAAATCGCTTTTAGGTAAATTATATTACTATTGTACTTGCGGAAAGTTAAATTTCTGGATTAAACACTTTGTTTAAACTTCGAATTTCCTTTTCGACAGATATTTCTAAGTTCGAGTTGAAGAAGTGTATTCATTAGTTAAGTCAAGAGTGGGGCCCTCTAAGGAACAGTACTTGGACCACTATTCTTTTGTGTCTACTCCAACGATCTGCATCATTGTAGCCATCCAGCTCATTGCATACAGTAAGGTTTCTCATTACGCTGATGATACCGAGTTAAATATGAATCATATTATTAAGCAATATGTTCTTCAACGTCATTTGACTTAACCTGCAAGTGGTTCTCAGAATAGTTACTTCCTCTTGACATGACAAATGAGTTGTACTACCGGCAAAAATGGTTTTTACCGAATGTGTTTTATTGGTTTTTACATATGGTGCAGAAACACTGACTCTGACAAAAAGAACAATAAATAAAGATATAGTACAAAAAGAACAATAAATACAATACCAACCCAAGAAATAAGAACAAGAATAGGAGTCAGTTGAAAGAATAGGCTAATTGGGCTTGGGCCGGACATATTGCCAGATTAACAGATGATAAATGGATCACGAATATTCCGAAATTACGAATAAGACGAGATACACACAATTGGATGTAAGAAGCTCAAGATATAAATAGGTGAAACATTTTACGGGAGGCCTACGTTCAACAGTGGACAAATATAGGCTAATAGATGATGACCGTATTGTATTAATGGACATCCTTAAACTCGGTAATTCCCACAACAACTTATGAGTGATAATTAATATGGATTTAAATTTGTCGGATCAAATAGTGTCTGTATTTAAACGTGCACACTCCAAATTATTTCTGATCCGCAAATACTTTGCACGTATTTCTCCAACCTCTGCTTGCAAGCTTTACTCAATATACGTCAGACCTATGCTTCAGTTATCCGGACAGGTTTGGAGTTTAGGTCTTATTTGTCATAAGATCTTACTCGAAAATTGTCAGTAAGCGAGAGCGCCCACCAAACTGGCGTGAGATGTAACATGGCAGTGACATAGCACGGGCATAGGGCGAGTATAGCAGGTGCGCTTATTTAACTCAGTTTACTCATCTAGTCATTATTTATAGCATAATATTCATTATGAATAACGTAACAAAAACATATATTCCTTATTAATGACATAAAAGATATATTAAAAGCGCTCTGGTCGCTGGAAGCTTTCCTACTATTTTTTTAAGAGGACATACTACTATACGAAAAATTGTGTACGAAATAACTACAGCAATTTGGACAGTACTCCAGCCAGAATATTTGACCAAACAATCAAGAGAATTATGGTTTAAAACAGCGAGTAGATACTGGGAACTTTGGAATTTGCCTAATTGCTGTGGCTCTATTAATGAAAAGCGTATCAGAATTAAAGCCCCCCGAAATCTGGATCGCCTCCCACGCGAGCCATGCTTTGCTCTCAATTCCTTACTGAGAGAAATCATGTCCCATTCCTTTATCCTTTCAAAATCTAATTTCCTACTTCCTATCCCTCCCTGGTGAATGGCAGCAGCGATCATCATTACCAGTTCAAGGTGTAGAGGAAAATGATCCTGGACCGGCTTGAAACTGGATTACCACAAGCATGACTGGAACAGTTTAAATGGTTGTGGTACTGCGATGGGGAAGGCAACTGGAAAACCACCCCATTATATTATCCACAAATCTAAACGACAGACGAGAAAAAGAAAATGGCCCTCAGTCCGGGGCACCCCTTAAATGGTGAGAGGGTGCGAAGAATCCCCCCGTCAACTACTCAAGAAAGTGGACAGAAAATACAAATATACGACCGAATAGTACGCATTGCCACCTGGAACGTACGCAGCTTATTTATGTCCGGGAAACTGGTAAACACTGAAGCCGAGATGATAAGACTGAAAATAGACATCTTAGGGATGAGTGAAGTAAGATAGCCTGGTTTAGGAGTACAAAAACAAAACATGGATACATATATTATTCATGCGGACCTAACCCAGAACATCGATATGGAACTGCTATATTAGTGTCCAACAAAATTACTGAATCAGTCACAGACTTCATCCATCCCTCTAAATGACAGAGTAGCAATGTTGAAATTACAAACAACTCACAGAAAACTAAATATTATTCAGGTCTATGCTCTAAGAAATCGAAAAATTTTATAACAACATAGATGAAATAATGCGACTGACAAAAAGAGGTGAGATAACGATGATCATGGGTGACTTTAACGCTAAAGTTGGACGTGGTGATGAAGGAGATCACACTTAGACCATAAAAACTGATAGACACGCCTTGTACCGAACCGTTGAAGCAAAGACCTTCCGCGAAAGTGACGTCACAATGCGGCAAGAGCCCGCTTGGATTCTTAGCAAAGCACTAATATAATTACCCAATTTTAGATTAATTTTAATATAACTTCAATATTTTGTAAAAAATATGGAAGATAAATTATTTAGTTAAGTAATTAATAAATATTTTTGCCTTAAATTGTAAAAATAAATGTTGTATTTGAAAGTACATACCTACAGATTAACCGTTGGTATATCACTTCTTGTTTGATATTCAAAAATAAATTTAAAGGAGAATAATTTTCTTTTGGGTAGAAGTTTCAGGTTAGGTAAAAAAATATGTAATAAATCTATTTATTTATTGACCACAAAACAAAATAGCTTTTGTTAACTCACTTCTAACTCTTATTACATTATTCAGTTTTTCACCTTCGTGGTACAATCTAATGTTGCAATAATGGAAACAAATTATCTTTATTAGATTAAACAAATGGTTTGTTTCAAATTCATGATCAAACATATGTTCTTTGTATGCGTTAAACACAGAAGCATGCACGTTACTCATGACATTTAAGATCAATTTTGTCATTATTTTGGAATCGTTTAATTTTTTTGAATTGTACATAAATTTAATTTCGCTTTCAGCAATTTTGCAAATATGAATAACGTCTTTAGAAGGTCGAATTAAAAAATTATTTGATATGCTATAATTTTTGTGTCTTATGTGCTTTCTTTATTGTGTTCTTTTGTGCCTTATTCAATTGCACACAAACATATGTCACAACCTAATGTTTTCTTAACTTCTTAACGACAAACCCAGCGGTGTAGTCAACAACATCACAAACATAAGATGTCAATGTTCTTGAAAAACTTAAATTATTTACAGTATAATCCTGATCCTGGTTACTAGTTATTGTTTCCCTATTATTTTCATCAGTTATAAAGTTGTCAATGAGTTGAGGATCAACAGTTTTCATATTCACAGTATTTGTTGTGCTCTATTTTCTAAGCCTTCTATTTCGTTGTTGCAACATTTTGATTTGTTTGCTTTTCTTCTGAATTAATTTGTTTACTACTACTTTATACCCCTGGTCTCTGTTAGATGATCCTTATTCAAAGTCACCAAGATAATGTCTTCGCTTTTTCAAGGGAGGTTCTAAGGTAGTTTCGTCTGAAATTTCTACTGCAGTCTTTATGGTGGTAGATTCATTCGTTATATTTATATTTTCCCTTTTAGATCCTGTTGGTTTCACTGAAATAGTTTCTCTTTTTTTTTTTAAATTTTCTAGTTGTAACTTAAATGGTTTGGAAAATCGAAAATGCTAGGTACAGCATCTTTTTTTAGTTGTTTTTTTGAACTCCAACCGCTAGTAATATACGAATCTGCTGTGAAAAGTTTGGAGCAAATTTTAGAACTCTTTGTTGGTTTAAAATTTTCACGGTGCATCACTATAATCCATTTTTTTGTAATGATGAATCTTTAGGAAATCTAAAACAATTTATTTGCTTAATCCTTTAGTTTTCAATCTAATTATAAAATAAAAATTATATATAAGACTCCCTATCTCATATGTATCTATTTTAAACACTGTGTCCCTTTTTTTGTCGCTGCGTACAATTAAATGCACTGCAAGATGCCACCATAATTAAAATATTAATGTATTGGAAATTTTTTAAATTGAAACACTTTAAAAAGTTTACAACGCGTATAAACACTTCTAATCTCTACCGTTTCTGCCGCAAACTGACGTCACCCACAGCTGTCTGAATCGTTTTATGTTGGCTTCACTCCTCGAGACGAGAGACTAGCATTACGGCGCGTCTATCAGTTTTTATGGTCTAAGTGGGAGCGCCCACCAAAGTGGCGTGGCACGTAGCAAGTGGCAAGTAGCACGCGTCTAGCATGTTTCTTAAAATGTAACCAATGAAAACGAATGATTCAG